TTCATCGTTGCGAGCTTCGCTGCCCTCGACGTCGTGCTGCACCAAAGGCAGTGTCACTGCGGACTTCTCCTGTGTCATCGGCTCCCCTGCCGACTGCGCAGTCGCCGATGGCTCCCAGGTCGGCTTCACTATTGGTGGCTTCCCTGCAGAAGCCGTCTTCGCCGACTGCATTGTGGTCGGCGTCTTCTCCACCACCTGCTGCGGTCTTCGTCGGCTCTGCTTCCGCGCCGACTCGCTGGCCGTCACGTCGGTCACCGACGATGCCACCGGTCGGCGTCTCAGGCGACGTCCCACTACTCCCCTCATCGGCGGAAGCCGACGTCGGCGTAAGCTCATGCAGGTCGGCTACGAGGAGTGGGGTGGCAGGGGTAGGGAGAGGAGGAAGGACTTCTTCGGCATCCTCGTCAGCAAGCTCATCGACCTCGGTGAGCAACGGAAGTGTCGCCGTCGAGGTGTCCGTCGACTGGTTGACCTGCGTCCGCCCCGACGCCAACCCGTGCTCCGACTTCCACATCACCAGCGACATCATTTTGTAGAACACCACGTCCGACGTGGTGACTACCTTATTGCCGGTGAGGTCGAGGAGCTCCCATCCCTTGCTCTCCTCAATTTCCGCCGCGCTGCTGCTCGGGGACCAGGAACTGCGCCATGCAGCCCCACACCCGGGCAAGCGTCATGTCCGGCTTCTTGCCAGTCACCAGCTGGTACGGCGTTGTTCCCGGCAGAAGCGACGATCTCTCCATGCAGTTGCGTGCCCAGATAGCCTGCCGTAGAGCGAGGTGCCACCAGTGGTGCTGCACGCCTATGAGCAGCAGCATCGTCCGCACCGACTCCACCACCGTCCGCATCTCCCGCTCCGCCATGCCATTCTGCTGCGGTGTGTAAGTTGGTGTTTACGAAGTCATGGACGATTCCCTTGCCGTTTACGAAGTCAGTGAACTGCTTCCCGAGGAACTCCCCTCCCCGGTCAGAGCGCAGCATCAGCACCGACTTCTTCGTCTGTCCGCCCCTCAGCCACCAGCAGCCACTTCTCGAATTCCCGCAGCACGTCCGACTTCTTGGCGACCGACCTCACCCACACGTAGCGTGTCATGCGGTCCTTCAGCAGCAAGGAGTACAGACTGCCACCCCGGAATGGCCCGCACAAGTCGATGTGCACGACAGCCAGGGCATCGTCGGCGTCCGAGCTTTGTTAGGGAAGGTGTGCCACGCCAGCTTCCCGCCAACGAACGAGAAACATGGGGACTCGGTGCTGACCGATGGCTGGATGATTAAGCCAGTGGCGACTTCGTGCATCGCCGAGCTCCGAATTGTGTCGACGCCGACGTTCGCAAGCCTCGCATGCCACCGGTCTGGCGTCGACTTTGTCCGAGACAGTCGCTCGCAGAGCCACCACCGCAGTCGGAGCCAAAACCGACTCTCCGAGCTCGCAGAGCACGGACGAAGGTCGGTGCAGAGGACCGGCCAGTCTATCGCGCCCGACCAGCATGTCCCCTCCCGCCGTGACGAGCAGCGTCCCGTCACCGTCGTCTTGCAGCTTCACGCTGCTCTCCTTTAACTAGCCGGCTGACAACAGGTTCGCCTGCATGCCCAAGACGTAGAACACGTCGGGGATGAGTACCTGCTTCCCGGCCTCCCCTTGCAGAGCGACGGTGCCATGGCCTTGGACGTCCTGGAACGCCCCATTGAAGCCCCGGACGTGCTTAACGTCGCAACTTGGCTTCAAGTCAACGAAGGCATCCTTCGTCCCCATCAGGTGGTGCGAGCAGCCGCTGTCGAGCAAGGCCACCGTCGGGTTAGCCTGCACGGCTGCCGCCACTGACTAAAAATCCTTGCCGGCCTCCGGTGCCAGCGAGATGATCAGCGAGCGACCAGCGAGCACGATGCCTCGCTGTTGCCTCGCCCCTTGCCGCCAGACGAGTCGGCGTCCTTTGCCGTCGCCGACTTGGCCGACTGGTTCTCTTTGCGCGGCTTGCTCTACGGACGTGGGTGATGACCGGCCGACCTCCCGCGACCTCCCTTGGTGTTGTCGTCCTCGGAGTCGTCACAGTCGGGGCACTCAAAGGAGAGGTGGTTAAGGTCGCCGGACGGCCAGCACTCTCGGCGTCGACCTCCTCCTCCACGACCGCTATCCTTAGCCAACTTCCCCTTGTCGGCCTTCTTGGCCAGCTTTCCAGCTCCGCTACCACCGTCGCCACGATTGCCGCGCTGCCCCGCTCGGCCTCCTTGCTTTGTCGGGGTGACATAGTTCGCCTGTGGCAAGAGCTTCGTGGACCTCTTGGCCTCCTGCATCGCCTCGTCCGTGAGAATGTGTGAGGTCAACGAGTCCTCGTTGAGCGACTCCCGCGTGCCCGGCACTACCATCATCGGTTTCATCAGGGTGTAGCCGCTTGGGAGCCCCTTGATGACGTGCGTGATGTACGACGCCGTTGATTATTCGACGTCGGCCATCTGCATGCAGGCAAGGAGACGCTGAGCTCGGTTGCAGTAGTCGGTCGCCGTCTCCTGCTCGCCCATCTGCAGTCGCGTCATCTGCTCCTCCAGCTGGCCGATGTACAGGTCGTCGGTGACCTAGTACGTTGACGTGATGAATTGCTACGCTTGCTGGCCGGCGTCCAGGTTACTCCGGCACGACTTCAGGGCAATCTGCACCATCGGTGAGCAGCACCGCGAGATGACCGTGAAGGTCAACAGCTGCACGGCGCGAAACTCCGCACGTAGCTCGGCGTTGCTCTTAGGCGTTGTCTCCACGGTGCCATCGGCGAAGCACGTCAGCCCAGCCATCTCCAGCTGGGGCTCGATGGATTTTTTCCACGTGAGAAAATCGGCGCCGTGACCGAGATCTTGTCCGGCGTGAACTTGAAGTACCCGTAGGTCGGCGCGATCCCGCCTGCAGTCACGTGGGTCACCGACACCGGCGCCACACTGCTTCGACGTCCACAGACGTCGCCTTGCGAGGAGCCTGCTGCCGCTGACGACTGCAGCCCTCTTGCCTGAACGCCGCCGGCTTCACCGTCGGCCGTCCGGAATACCCCTCGCTGCCTTGACGTGCCTCCCGCACTGCTGCCGACTTGATCGCCGGCGTTGACACCCACGTCGACGTCGCCTTTGTTGTTCACCAGTCGAGGAGAAACGGGTCGGGAAAGGTGCTCCGAAGCCCACTTAGCGCGTATGCCCAGCTCGACGACCTCCAAGGGGAGGCTCGGCCCGAACTCGCTAGCCTCATAGCGTCTCCTCGCATCAGCCAGCCGCGTCTCCAGGGTATCCACTACACCTGCGTCACCTCCGCCGCCCACCATGGTAACTAACACAGCTGCCGGCCTACGAACACGATAGGTAGTGCGCACCGAAGTCGGCTAAACCAAAGGTATCATCGCGGTGCCGTCCATGCTCACCGCACCATTGTGGAGATAACTCGTACAACGGGAGCTTGACAACAGGGAAGGCATGGGAGGTTGGGGTGATCTCTGCGTTCCTTAGTTGTTTGCTTGTGTTCACCCAGCTTGTGCATTCACGGGGAAATTTGACAAGAGTTCCACTAGCACAGGTTCACAATAATGGTGCACAATGATACCAAACAACATTGGCAAGCGTGACTACATCAGAGCTAGCAAGCATGCAGGTCGACCTCCAGCGTGTTGGGTGCAAATTTACATTGCACGACATCCTGCCGTCTGTTTGTACGAGTATGCGTGTGCGAATGCATTTGGGTGTGAATGGAATGTTCGTGTGTTTGTTTGCTTTCGCAATTTTCGCTTGATGCATTTGCAGGTACTCGCGCAATGTGCGCTTCGGCACAACATTGTACGCGCTATGAACAGTGCAAGCAGAAAGGACGAGCTCGCAAAGGAACCCAAGATGGAAGCTTTGCAGTTCGGTTGAGTTGATTGCGCAGATTCAGTTCTATCCAACTCGAAATTGTACTGTTTTGTTTGGTTAACTATAGTGTAGCAGGGAAGGCACTATAGGGGTACAATTTAGGTGAATGTTGGATGTTGTTTGTCTGTATCTGCATGCTACAAGGCCAGGGGAAACCAGCGGAACCAGCATTTGGCTGGTTAGGCAAAGACAAAACAGGTTCTGTTTTTAGAACCTGAACCTGGTTGTTGTTTTCCCAGGTTGGAAAAACAGAACCAGAGGTTGTTTACCAACCTACCACCTGCTATTTTGTCCAGCCAGGTTGGTTCTGTTGCTTGGAATTATTTGGGATCATCCCTGGTTGTTCCCAGGTTGATTCCCAAGGTCCTTGCTAGCTAGAAGTATTTAATCCTTCTCTGTTTGTACCTGAATATAGTCAAATTGATTCAAGCGAATTCCTTCCTCGCTGGAATTTCGTTTCTGCGCTATTCGACGGCGGAATGCTACCCGAGTCAACGCTAGTATGCTAGCACTCCAACGCTAGGCAAACGCTGTCCGAGCCATAACTTAGTAATGGCAGAACTTTTCGCGAGGCAACTTGGCTCATTTTAAAGCTCTTGGAGCGAGCTTCGATATAGCGAATTCTCAGCTTAATCCGACCGACGGTCTGCACGGCACGCTGCGCGACGTTCAAGGTACTCTTGCTGTTTTGACTAAGTCCTTCTTGATCCCTCTCTCTACAAACTCGGACCCGAGGATAGGGGCTGGTCTTGTACCAGGCACCCAGGGACCCTTGGAGGTGACCCCGAGGAGAAGTTTTAAGTTTGATTAAGTCCTAATAGCTTGAGTTTATTAGGCCCTTACACCAACAAGCTGGTATCAGAGCTGCGTTATAGTGATCCTCGTTATAGGTAGCTATGGCGGGCAACACCTCGGCGGGAGCTGGTGAATCTTCAGCCCAAGATCGTAGCGGCAGCCAAGATTCTGGTCTTTCAGCGCCAAGGGGAGCGCGAACAAACCAGGGCTCGCTTGTCAAGGAGGTGCTGAAGAATTTCACCGTCGAGAAGTTCAATGGTGAGGGCTATGATGATTGGGCCTGGAAAATGCAATTATATTTCCGTCAGATCGGTTTGCTGAAACTAATGATTGGGGAGGAGCCTAGACCGAGTGACCCCACGCTGCAGGAAGATTGGGACGAGCGCTCCTCGGCTGGCTACTATTTGATGTCGCAGAGTTTGGAGCTGAACCAGCGTCACCACGTCATGCACCTGCTGCCGGAGGTTGAATGCGGTCCGAAGGCGTGGACCGTGTTGAAGGAGCTGCACGCCCCGACCTCCGTTGTCGCAACGTTGATGCTGGAGAGGGAGCTGTCCGCGTTGCGCCTGAGCGAGGGAGAGCCGGTGCAACCAGTCCTGGACAAGATGCGCGACCTCTACGCGAAGTTGGCGACCGCGGGAATCACCTACCCGGAGCAGACCAAGTGCTTGAAGATGCTCTCGCTGCTGCCGGAATCGTGGCTTCAATTTACGAGCGGATTGAGCCTGCCGCAGAACCAGAGCTTGTGGACGCTCGAGTGGGTGCGGATGAAGATTCTGGAGGAGGACTTCCGTCGCCGCCAACTGAGGGGTGGAGACGACGGCAGCAGCAGCTACGGGATGCAAGGGAGCCGACGTGGCAGAGGACGTGGCTTTGGTGGTGCTGGACGCGGTGCAAAGAAAGACGACGACTCCAACGACCAACAAGGAGGTACCGGTTGGGGTCGCGGTGCGAAATCTGGACGTGGGGGCAAGTCGGGTGCTGGTGGCAAAATGAAAGGGAGTTGCTAGTATTGTGAGAAGGAAGGGCACCCCTGGTTTTTGTGCTATAAGAAACCCGATGGATGGACCCCCCAGAATCGTCACCAGGATGGCGGCGCGCGGAGGAACCAGAAAAACGGCGCCAACATGGTCGCTGATTCGTCCGACAACAACCCGAAGGGCAACGGCGGTGCGGAGAAGAAGAAGGAGCGCACCGCGGGCCAATTCTTCCATGTGGGAGACAAGGGGGAGCAAGGAGACGCCTCTGCCAAAGTTGGAGCAGAGTTGCACCCCCTAGACTATTGGGTGTTGGACACAGGCGCTGCTTGGACGATGACGCCGCGCAAGGACCTGCTGGACGAAGTACGAGCTGCACCGATCAATGAAGTGTGCTCCGCCTCTGGACACATGTTGAAGGTGGCTGGTGCGGGACGAGCTGCGTTTAAGGGAGCGGATGGCAAGCCGGTGGTGCTGCACGACGTTCTCTTCGTCCCCGACCTGAAGGCCAACCTTATCTCCCTCCGTAAGCTTGGCAAGGCTGGGGTGAACACCAACACGGATGGGGCACGCACTTATAAGGGGAAGCTGGGCAATCGGGTGCTTTGGGATCTGCACGAGAGCAAGGACGTGTACAGATCTATGTGGCAGCTGCCGGCCCTGGCGTGGCATGGTGGGGGGCAGGCTGGAGAGGGGTCTGCATCCCAGGGGGAGTGCAATGCCGTTGGAGGGGTTGGTGTGAAAGTGTCGGCCAGATCTGGGGAGACGGATTGGGCAACGGCACACCGACGCTTGGGGCATGTGGCAATGCCTCTGCTGAAGCAGCTGGAGAAAGATGGAGCTGTCAAAGGTTTGAAGCTGAACGGACAGCCACCCGATGACAACTGTGAAATCTGTTTGCTTTCAAAGTTCACCCGTTTCCCTTTCCATAGTGTGGCTGGCAGGAGCAAGAAGCCTTTGGAGCTGGTCCACATGGACTTGGTGGGGCCGCTGCCGGTGCAAGGGCACAAGGGGGAGCGGTATTTTCTTACAATTGTGGATGACTGGAGCAGGCTGATGTGGGCGTATCCGCTGAAGCAGAAGGACCACGCCGCCTCCACGATACGGGACGATTGGCTGCCATTCGTGGAGAAGCAAGCGGAGTGTGTAGTGAAGCGGATTAGGACAGACCGGGGTGGTGAGTTCCTTGGAGCTGAAATGACGGCCTGGCTCAAGAAGCAGGGCATCCAGAGAGAGCTGACCACGGCTTATACCCCACAGTCCAATGGTGTAGCAGAACGGGCAAACCGGACCATTCTGGAGACAGCTAGGGCGCTGCTCATAGAATCTGGGCTGAGCAATTCTATGTGGCCTCATGCTGTCCGGCACGCCACTGTCGCTAGGAACAGGGTGCTCACCAAGGTTGGGGATGACTCGTGGGTGCCGTTGGAGAGGTGGCTTGGGAGGAAGCCGCCGGTGGACATGCTGAGGGTGTTCGGTTGCATGGCAGTCGCCCACGTCCCCAAGACCTACCGCAGTAAGTTGGGGGCGAGTGCAATCTGGTGTGTGCATTTGGGGCTGGCTGCTGAGAGCAAGGGATGGCTGCTGTGGGAACCATCCAAGGGTGTGTTGTTTGACAGCAGGGATGTGAAATTCATTGAGGGCATGATGTATGGGAGCTGGGAGAAACAGCCGGAGGCAAGGGTGTCCCAGCAGATGGAGCAGATCACCATGCAGCTGGACCTGACTCCTAGTGTGTGGGAGGAGGGAGAGGAGGCAGCTGCTGGAAATGGTGATGGAGAGAAGATACAGGAGGCATCTGCTGGTGGAGAAAATGGTGTGGAAACTGGCGGCAGCACTAGTGGAGCTGCTGGACCCGAGGGAGGAGAGAAGCAGCAGGGAAAAACTAAGAAGCCGAAGGGTGTCGTTATGAAGGGATGGGAGACACCCGTCTCCAGGCCAGGACGTACCCGTATGGCTACTAAGAAGCTGACTGCAGGAACTGATGCAGCAGAGCAGCAGCTAGGGACCGAAGAGGCATTGCTGATTCTACCTCATGGCTATGACCCGGATGAGGAGGATGAGCCTGCGTACTGTTTTCTTGCCCCTGCACCAGAGGAACCAGCTAGCATGGAGGAGGCATTAGCTGGACCAGATAGGGACAAGTGGCTGGCTTCTAGGGATGCTGAGTACCAGAGTCTGCTGGAGAATAGGACATGGGATCTGGTGGTGCTGCCTGATGGGAAGAAAGCGATACAATGCAAGTGGGTGCTGAGGATCAAGACCGATGACAAGGGGCAGGTCACCATCTACAAGAGTAGGCTGGTGGCGAAGGGGTTTATGCAGAAGGAGAAGCAGGACTTCAACGAGATCTTTGCTCCCACTGCCAAACCCCCTACCCTCCGTGTCTTGTTGGCAGATGCAGCTGTTAGTGGGAAATTCATCATTCAGATGGATATTTCAACGGCATTCCTGAATGGGATTTTAGAGGAGGATGTGTACATGACGCAGCCGCCTGGGTATGAGGATGGTACGGGCAGGGTGTGCAAGCTCAACAAGTCCATCTACGGCTTGAAGCAGGCGCCACGCTGCTGGTACCAGAAGTTGGCAGCTGTTTTAGAGGAGATGGGATTCAGGACCAGCAGCTGTGATGAGAGCCTCTTTCTCAAGGGCGAGGGGGAGAAGCTGGTGCTGTTTCTGGTCTATGTGGACGACATTCTTCTCTTCAGCAGCAGCATGAAGGAGATCCAGAAAGTGCAGCAGCAACTGATGGAAAACTTCAAGTGCAAGAACCTTGGGGAGGTAAAGTACTACCTCGGGATGCACGTGGAGAGGGATCCAGATCACAGGTGGTTGAAGCTGCACCAGGAGAAGTTCATCAAGGAGCTGGGGGAGAAGTATGGGATTGAGAATGAGCGCAAGGTTGCAACTCCCCTGCCAGCAGAATTCAAGCTTGTGAAGGCTGCAGAGGATGAAGGGGTTGAAGCCGAGGAGCAGCAGCAATTTCAGTCCTTGGTGGGCAGCCTCTTGTACGCAGCAGTTCACACGAGGCCCGACATCTCTTTCTCGGTTGGGCAGCTGGCTAGGGTGGTGCAGAATCCATCAGAGGAGCAGGTGGATGCAGCTGAGCGTGTGGTGAAGTACCTGAACTCTCACCCAAGCATTGGAGTTCAATACTCCGCATCTGCATAGGTGAAGCAGAAAGGGGTTGAGGTGCTGAAAGAGAAGGGGGAGAGGCTTGGAGAAGGCAAGCTATTTCTCACTTGCTTTACCGATGCTACATGGGCTTCTGAGAAGGAGGATTCCTCATCTGTGGGAGGATACATCTGCGTAGTTGGGGGAGGACCTGTTAGTTGGAGGTCCAAGAAGCAGACGGAGACGGCACTCTCTTCCGTAGAATCAGAGTACATGGCGATGTTCCATGGGGTGAAGGAGGTGATTTGGCTGAGGAGGCTGTTAGAGGAGATTGGCCAGGAGCAGAAAGTTGCTACGCCGCTGTTTTGTGATAGCAAGGGGGCTCTTGGGATGGCCAGGAACGCTGTGCTTCATGGCCTGAACAAGCACATGCGTATCAAGTGGCACTGGCTGCGTAAGGAGGTGAAGAGGGGGACGGTGAATCCAATCTACATCAAGACTCACCAGCAGCCAGCAGACTTTCTCACCAAGAGGCTTGCGGATGAGCCTCATTGGCGTTGTGTGCGCATGAGTGGAATGAGCATGAACTAGCATGGAATGATGGGGATGCAGCCGGCAGGCTGAGGGGGAGTGTGTTGGGTGCAAATTTACATTGCACGACATCCTGCCGTCTGTTTGTACGAGTATGCGTGTGCGAATGCATTTGGGTGTGAATGGAATGTTCGTGTGTTTGTTTGCTTTCGCAATTTTCGCTTGATGCATTTGCAGGTACTCGCGCAATGTGCGCTTCGGCACAACATTGTACGCGCTATGAACAGTGCAAGCAGAAAGGACGAGCTCGCAAAGGAACCCAAGATGGAAGCTTTGCAGTTCGGTTGAGTTGATTGCGCAGATTCAGTTCTATCCAACTCGAAATTGTACTGTTTTGTTTGGTTAACTATAGTGTAGCAGGGAAGGCACTATAGGGGTACAATTTAGGTGAAGGTTGGATGTTGTTTGTCTGTATCTGCATGCTACAAGGCCAGGGGAAACCAGCGGAACCAGCATTTGGCTGGTTAGGCAAAGACAAAACAGGTTCTGTTTTTAGAACCTGAACCTGGTTGTTGTTTTCCCAGGTTGGAAAAACAGAACCAGAGGTTGTTTACCAACCTACCACCTGCTATTTTGTCCAGCCAGGTTGGTTCTGTTGCTTGGAATTATTTGGGATCATCCCTGGTTGTTCCCAGGTTGATTCCCAAGGTCCTTGCTAGCTATAACTATTTAATCCTTCTCTGTTTGTACCTGAATATAGTCAAAATTGATTCAAGCGAATTCCTTCCTCGCTGGAATTTCGTTTCTGCGCTATTCGACGGCGGAATGCTACCCGAGTCAACGCTAGTATGCTAGCACTCCAACGCTAGGCAAACGCTGTCCGAGCCAGAACTTAGTAATGGCAGAACTTTTCGCGAGGCAACTTGGCTCATTTTAAAGCTCTTGGAGCGAGCTTCGATATAGCGAATTCTCAGCTTAATCCGACCGACGGTCTGCACGGCACGCTGCGCGACGTTCAAGGTACTCTTGCTGTTTTGACTAAGTCCTTCTTGATCCCTCTCTCTACAAACTCGGACCCGAGGATAGGGGCTGGTCTTGTACCAGGCACCCAGGGACCCTTGGAGGTGACCCCGAGGAGAGGTTTTAAGTTTGATTAAGTCCTAATAGCTTGAGTTTATTAGGCCCTTACACCAACACAGCGCAGCACGGTCGACCTCGTTCCAGTGCTGCAAAGCTCGCACTGCTCCAGCACAGCAGAGAAGTGGCTTGCCAACGTTGCAAGTGTGCGTCGTGTCAACGCTGCAGCAACACGACTGCACAGCGTTGCACCCGCATGACAGCGGTGCACCCACTTCGCAGTTGCGCACGGCTGGTTGGTGTGCCACGCCCCGAAACTTGTACAGTGCAGACGCCAGGCCAAGAACACGCCAACGACTTCACCCACCAGCCACATCGACATCAGGATACCACTTCCGAGGTCGGCTTCGCAGGAACCACTCCGGCGACAATCGCGTTTCTGCGCAAAAATATGTCGCCCGGGTAACTCGGTCAACCGAGCAACCACACCCGGTCGACCAGACTGATCGGTTGCCGAATACACCAAGCCGATATCCCCAAAGTCGGCATCAGCAGGTCGGCCTCGCCAGGTCGACCACCCAAACTTGGTGCCCTCCTTTGCGGCGGCCTCCTATTCAGCAGCCTCCTGCTTGACGCCCTCCACTTGTCGACTTCGCCAAGTCGACCACCCACCAAAGTCGGCGCCTACCAAAGTCGGCGCCCCTTCCTAGGTCCACGTCTCCCCTCGTCGACGACTGGGTTAAGTTGGCACCCGTTGTCCCAACGTCGGCGGCACCTAAGTGGCCTCGTGCAGGTCGACCTCACCCGTCAACCTGCGTGCCTAATTCAGCGTCGCCCACTGCAGTTGGTCGGCCGTGCTCCCCGCACACCCGACTGCGAAGTCTGCTCCGCCCAAGCGAGGACGGGGCCAACACACAACTTTTGTTCACAAACTCTGCAATGGCAGAACTTTTCGCGAGGCAACTTGGCTTATTCTAAAGTTGTTGGACCGAGAATTGATATAGCAAATTCTCAGCTTCATCCGATCGACGGGTCTGGAAAATGCAACTCTATATCCGTCAGATCGAGTTGCTGAAACTAATGACTGGGGAGGTGACTAGACCGACAGACCCCGCGCTGCAGGACAGATTAGGACGAGTGCGACTCGGCTGTCTAGTACTTGATATCGCACAGTTTGGAGCTAAACCAGAGTCACCACATCATGCACCTGCTGCCGGAGGTTGAGTGCGGTCCGAAGGCATGGACCGTATTGAAGGAGCTGCACGCCCCTACCTCCGTCGCCGCGATGCTCATGATGGAGAGGGAGCTGTCCGCGTTGCGCTTGAGCGAGGGAGAGCCGGTGCAACCTGTTTTGGACAAGATGCGTGATTCTACGTGAAGCTGGTGACCGTGGGAATCACCTACCCAAAACAGACCAAGTGCCTGAAGATGTTCTTGCTGCTGCCCGACTCGTGGCTTCAATATACTAGCGGATTGAGCCTGCCGCAGAACTAGAGCTTGTGGACGCTCGAGTGGGTGCGGATGAAGATTCTGGAGGAGGACTTCCGTCGCCGCCAACTAAGGGGTGGAGACAAGGGCAGTAGCGGTTACGGCATGCAAGGAGAGAGACGTGATAGAGAAAATGACTTTCATGGTGTTGGACGCTGTGCAAAGACGGACGACCACTCTTACGACCAAGAAGGAGATACCGGTTGGGGTCGTGGTGGGAAGTCTAAATGCGGGGGCAGATCGGGTGCTGGTGGCTGCTGGTTTTGTGAGAAAGACGATCATCCTTGGTTCTTGTGTTATACATAACCCAAAAAATGGACCCCCCAGAATCGCCGCTAGGACGCGGTGAAAGTGCAAATATCGCAGGATCGTCTGCACATATATCGATCCCCACAATCGAGTGGGACCAAAAGAATGGCGCGAACATGGTCGCGAATTCGTTTGATGAGTGGGACTAACAGTAAGTGCGTTACTTAGCCATATAAGTGGTACTAAGAGTAAGTGCGTTACTTTCGATAGGACTGGTACTAACAGTAAGTGAGTTACTGAGCAATAGGAGCGGTACTGAGACACAGTGCATTACTTAGCCATATGATAGGTACTAAGGGTAATTGCACTAGTTAGCCATATATGTGGTACTAAGAGTAAGTGGTACTAATTATAGATGCGTTACATAGCCATAAAAGTGGTACCGAGAGTAGGTGCCTTACATAGGCATATGAATGGTACAAATATTTAATTGTGTTACTTAGCTATACGAATGGTACTAAGAGTAACTGCGTTACTTACCCATATGAGTGGTAATAAGAGTAAGTGCAATGCTATGCCATATAAGTGCGTTACCTAGCCATAAATGTGGTACTAAGAGTAAGTGCGTTACTATCAAAGCAAAATAAGTGGTTCTAAGAATAGGTGCGTTACTTAGCCAGATGAGTGGTATTGAGAATAAGTGCGTTACTTAGCCAAATGAGAGGTACTGAGAGTAAGTGCGATATTTAGTAACTGACACTAAAATTAAGTGCGTTGGTTAGCCAAATAAGTGGTACTAAGAGTAAATGCATTACTTAGCCATATGAGTGGCACGAAGAGTTGGTACATTACTTAGAGATACGAGTCATAGTAAGAGTAAGTGCATTACTTAGACATACGAGTGGTACTAGAAGTTGGTGCATTACTTAGCCGTATGAGTGGTACTAAGAGCATGTGCAATTCTAAGGGATACGAGTGGTCCGAAGAGTAAGTGCATTCTTTAGCCATATGAGTGGTACTAAGAATAAGTGCGTTACATAGCTAAATGAGTGATACTAAGAGTAAGTGTGTTTGTTAGCCACATGAGTGTCACTAAGAGTGTGTTATTTACCAGTATGAGTGGTACTAATATTAAGTGCGCTACTTAGCCATATGTGTGGCACTAAAGGAAAAAAAGTTACTTCGCTATACAAGTGGTACTAATTGTAAGTGCGCTACTTAGCCATTTGAGTTGTACTAAGATTATATGCGTTACTTAGCCATACGAGCCGTATTATGACCAACTGCATTATATAGCCATCGGTTGGACCAACTGATCAGTTGGACCAACAAGCCGGTTGGACCAACAAGCCGGTTGGACCGACAGGTCCTTTGGTCCAACAAGCCGGTTGGGCCACCTGATCTAATGGACCAACAAGCCAGTTGGACCAACTGATTAGTTGGACCAACAAGCCGGTTGCATCAACAAATCAGTTGGACCAGCAAGCCAGTTGGACCAACTAATTTGTTGGACCAGCAAGCCGGTCGGACCTACTGATCAGTTTGACCAACTGATGAGTTGGACCAACAAGCCAGTTGAACCCAATTATTTGTAGGAGGAACAAGGCGGTTGGACAAACTAATCTGTTAGAGCAACAAGCCGGTTGGACCAACTGATCAATTGAACCAACAAATCTGTTGGACCAACAAGCCAATTGACCGGCTGGCCAGTCGGACCAACCAGCCAGTTTGACCAACTAATTTGTTGGACCAACAAGGCTGTTGGACCAATTGCTCTGTCGGACCAACAAGCCGATTGGACTAAATGATCAGTCGGACCTACAAGACGGTTGGACCAACTGATCTCTTGGACCAACAAGCCAGTTGGACCAACTAGTCTGTTGGTCCAACAAGCCAATTCGTCCCACCGATCTGTTGGACCAACAAGCCCGCTGGTTCAAGTGATCAGCAGGACCAACAAGCCGGTTGGACCAACTAGTCAGATGGACCAACAAGCCAGCAAGACCAACTAATCTATGGGACCAACAAGCCGGATGGACAAACAGGTCAGTTGGACCAACAAGCGGGTTGGACCAACTAGTATGTTGGACCAACAAGATGGTTGGACAAACTGGTCAGCAGGACCAATTGATTAGTTGGACCACCAAGCCAGTCGGACTTAGTGATTTGTTGGACCACCAAGCCAGTTGGACTTAGTGGTCAGTTGGTCCAACAAACAGGTTGGACCAACTGAACAATCAGGTTGG